GTGAAAAATAGATCTAAACCCTATTCAATGGTAAGATGCATGGCCCTAAGCTTAACTGCTTTAGCAATGACCAGATTTCTAGAGGCCTGATCCTGCGCCATGCTGAGCCTCCTTCAAGTTACACGAGCAGTAATGGTCCTAAAAGGCACTATTTCTCTTGCAGGGAAATGTTGCTCTCCAAAAGTCATCACCTAGTTAGCATCCTGAAAACTGAAAGCCAGGATGAGCTGACCACAGAAGCCGGACTCAACCCAACAGATGTGCAGGCAGAGCTGAATAAACTGGGAACGTAGAGCTTTGCTGCACCTGTTTTATCGAGTACAGAACAGACCTAATTTTACTGCAACATCAACTGAGGAATTTTTCACAGGCACCATAATCCACCAGAAAATTACCTTAAGCAGCATCTACTCCATGAAAGTAACCCTTGAGAAATCTGTCCCTTCATCTGGGTTCTCATCCAACCCTACTACAGCCAAACCAACCTAATATATGTTGGCTAAAATAGGGCAGCTGAAAAACAATTAACAAAGAAATTCAAGACCTGGGGTGAAGGAAGACAGATGTGTACGAGCTGGCCGACCACAAAAAATCCTCAGAAATTATTTCGCCCCTGCTCAGGTCTCCAAACCAGCAATCCCAAAAGCTCTTTTGAAAACAGATGGTCCATAACTCATCCCCCACTTCCAAAGGTGAACGACAGGCTTCCTAAACCACAGCAGATCAAGTTCCCAGCTCCCCAGTTTTACACTGCCCCGTTCAAATAGATAAAAACTGCTTGTGTTAGATGAAGCCTGGAATTTGGTCCTCTTCATTTAACCTTCCCGTGTACTCAGATTTTTTTTTGTTTTTTTTCCCCAACAACCTTTTTAAGAGTCATTCTTCCCAGGCCAACTGAGAGCAATGGCAAATATCTAATTATTGTAAATAGGTTTCGGTCTTCCTCCTCCCACAGCCATCTGAAGACTAGGATGCACAACTAAAAAAGGGTAAGCTTGAAGTTTCAGGGTAGGTTTTTGTATTTTAATTACAAGCTACTCATTCTTCATAACTCATTTTTAGTGTCAAGACTCAAAAAAAAAAAAAGCCCCTTTGATTAAACACTGCTTGTTTTGCCAACTGGAGTGTTTTGAGAGCTGGAAGACAATGAGAACGTAATGTTTAGGACTTGTTTTGCATGTCTCCTCATCCGGCATATATGAGTCAGTCACACAGAATAGAAGCTTGTTAAAAAACAGATGACGGGTGCAACAATTATTTGTGTGGGTTTTTATTTCTTTTAATAGAAAATTCTAATATAAAACAGCAAACATTTTCAGTTTGCCTTGTTTACAAAAATATTATATATATTTTTTTTATATTTCTGACATAACTAAATGCACTATTCAATAAAAATATTCTTCCATCAGCTAACTTCTCTTTTAAAAAAATTAATAAAAAAGTTATATAAATAATGGTTGCACCCCCCCACCCCAAAACTGATCTCGCAAGCCTTGCTGGATCAGCTTAGGAGAACCAACACTTTGACACTTTTGGGGGGACAGGGGGGGAAAGGGGATCAGAAACCAGAGACCTCCCCTACACCCGTCCATCCTTCTCCAGTTACATCTGCTGCAAAAACCTGTTTCTCTGGGGGTAAGATAAAGGGAAAAAGCTGCTTTGCACTTTTTTTCTTTTTATATATATGAAATGACACCATGAAAGATTCAGGGACCCAAATCCACTCTTGTAGTAGTTTTACAAAAACGAGCAATTTCACTGAATTGCACTGGAGATCCAATGGTGTGGTGGTAGAATTAGCCTCTCTGGAAAAATCCAATTTCATACAGCTGGCACAAAAAGGGGTTTACAGGACACTACCCAACGTTTTCTAGAGGAATTCAGGGTCTCTTATCTAGGGTTTTCTGAATTCGTGCATGGAGTAGCACAAGCAGAAGCTCCTGCTCCATGGGTTAATTCGATTCCAACAACATCTATCACCAGCAGAAAACCCAGGTCAAGCACTTGAGAGGGTTTTGAGAGGGTTTGACATCTTTTCTACCAGCTGCTACTTGTTTCATCCTACTCAAGCTCCACTGGATTTTTCCAAAATGAGGCTTTTCCCCCCATTCTTTCTTCAAAGATAAGGCAAACATCAGAAAACGCTGGAACTAAACACCCCCCCACCCAAAACACACACAACGCGGTGGGGGGAAGAAGAAAAATAACCCACATATGTTTTACCACCCTAGGTCAAAAGGCCAAAAAGACAAGTTCTCCTGATTTCAGAGTGTTAGTATATTTTATACACTGCCTATACATTTAACACATGTGCCTCGCTACTATTTAGTTATTTATATTTTTTTTTTAACCACAGGAGAATAAACCTTGCTATTTACAATATATAACAGGCAAGTAATATATCCACATTAACATAAATACAATTTGTTTTTGTGGTGTTTTTTTTGTTGTTTTTTTTTTTTTTTTAAATACTTACAGAAAGCATCCAGGCTTCAGTGCGTGAGTTATAATACACAGAAGAGCTCTTTCACTCAGTAGTTCATTCACTCTTTGCCGCTTTCTTCTAGTCAAGCTTTGACAGTTTGCCTTATTGCCCACCCATCTCTCTCTCCCCCCCACTGCCAAACACACCAAGCTACCCCGTCCCATCCGACCCAGGCATTTTCTCTGCAATGATTTCTACGCCAACACTGCCCTCTCTTCTGCATCTAGGGACTCATTCTCCTCTCACACCAGTGCAATGTGGAGTTACTCCAGCGAGGTCAACGGAGACAGAGACACCAGTGAAAAGAAAGAAAATGAGGCCCATGGTTTAAATACAACAATAATAATAATAATTAATAATAATAATAATAATGCACATAAATTGCAGCCCATTCTTTAATTAAGAACAAATATTTTTTAAAAAGAATGGAGCCAGAAATAGTAATTCAGACCCAAAAATCCTCATCTTTTGAGCAGGTTTGGATCCAGCCTTACTTTGGAGGGGAAGAGCTATTCTAGCACACACACAAAAATGTAACAGTGAGTTTGCACATATGTGTGAGAGAGAGAGAGACAGAGGGAGAAAAAAAATTAACATAATACCACATTGAAACCATAAGGTCCTTCTGAAGGGCTTTACAATAAATAAATGTTCATTCAATACTTATATATATATATATTTATGTGTCAGCGTGTGTGTATACGTATACACACATGCACACACTGAATAATAGGTTTCTAGTCAGTTTATTTTTTAAACCATTAGATAAACTGCTCATGGGTGACTTTCAAAGCGGTGCATCTCCCAGAAGGTGCAAGACCTTCCTGCAAACTTTCTGCGTCAAATGCACCACCGTGCATTTGCTGTGGTGGAAAGGACAAACACCATGTGTGGATTCCTCCTTCTCCAGCACTACCCCAACCTCCAGAATTGTACAGCAAATAAGCAAACATCAAAAAAAGAGACAGTACGCTTCACTTTGCAGGACCATAGCACTGTTAACAGTAACAACCTGTCCCTCCCCATGCCCCCACCTCAAGATCTGATGCCAACAAGCCAGGCTGGACTGCAGGGATTTTTTACCAGGAAAAAAAAAAAAAAAAAAAAAAATCTTTTCTCCTCCCAGTAGATGCACATGAACAGCTTAAATATTAGTGGCTAATATTTGGGGGGGGGGGGGGAAAAGAAAAAAAAAAAAAAGAAAGAAAAAAAAGAAAAAACACCTTGAAAAATAATGGTCCATCTTGGAAAACTGCTCTTTTTTTGCTTGGCTAACATCTACTACTGCTTGGAAAACTCCAGCCAGTTTTCCTCTTTTGAGAACCAGATCAATGGCTTATATAAAATTGGTGGAAATTGCTACTACTGGACAATCAAAAATTGCTACCAAAAATAAAATATAATGCTCTCCGCTCTCCAGTGTTTCCTTAGAAAGCTTCGTTGAGGCATTCACTGGCTGCTTCCAATCCACTTTTATATGACTGAAGGATATTGCCGCATCAAGTCCTGGATTGTGAGTATCCTCTTCAAAGGAAAAAAGAAATGCTGGAGGTTGTCATCTCTTTCACAGCGTCAGAGCAATCTACCACTGCAGTCAATTTCTGGCTTTTCTGGCCACTTGATAGTTTGTCTCTGCATCGACTGGTTGTTCCGAATCCAACAGTTGGTTACCATTTAGCAGTTGTATTTTTAAAATACAGTTCTTGATGTAGTGGTTAAAAAAAAAAAAAAAAAAAAAATCTTAAGGTCATAGGGTTTACATACAGCTTGTGTCATGTACCACTGCCATGGTTTAGAGTAAATGGAATGATGACCTAGTAAAAGAAAAGTCAACTCCTCCAGAGGTCTGATCCAGTCCAAAACGGCTGCTATACAATGCAAGACAGCACTGCGTTCCAAGATGCACTCGAATTTCTGTTGTCCTACTCAGAAACACACGTCCAAATTCAGCTGGCATAAGACTAAAAAGTTCCAGTTCAGATTTCTGAAGCAGTTACCACAGGGTGAATTCGATCAACAAGAGGTGGGAAGAGGAGAGAAAAATAAATCATGCACGAAGTGAAAATAAAACAAAAGTATCTAGTGGTTTTAAAAAAAAAAAAAAAATTAAGACGGCAATAGTGCTAAAGAAACTACATTCGAAGAAATTGTTTTAAAAAAAGAATATGTGATTGGACTGAAGAGGACAGGCACGTCTGGTTTTCTACTGTCTTCCCAACCTCTTTCTTGGATATATTTCTGTCTGCAACATGGTGGACCCAACATTTTTTGAGCTGTATTTGGTGATCAAAGCACGCAGATATGGAGCTGTTGTTGAAAAGCTTACCCTCCCAGTGGGTCTCTTTGTCGGAGCCTTGTTTGCTCGATGTGCAGAAACTCCACTGGAGGAACCATCAGGGCTGATCCTGCTTACCCTACACACACCTCTCCAGTTTTAGAAGGGGAAATAAAGGATCGCTTCCCGTACCATCACATTCAAAGCAGAAAGATCTTACTTTCGCATCTGCTTAGCTCTCTAAGCAGTTGGGTAAGCTTCAGCAATAAGGATAGGTTATTTATGCCAAAGAGAACGTATTAGCCCAGGAGTTCATGGAGGATTGGTGAAACGATCGAGATGTTCCAAGGATAAATGATCCGTCAAACTGCGTAGACAGCTAAGGTGAAGGTCAACTGGTGTCTAACCCCAGTGTGACAGGCACTTATTTCCACATGGTTGGACCTCATTAAAATTCAGTCTACAGGAAAACAAAACAAAACAAAAACATAACAGCAACACAGCTGGGTCACCTGTACCCTACAAAGTGCTTATGTCTCAACATAGCTTTCAGATCCCAGAAGGTCAATCAAACCCTGTTTGTCTCCATATGCAGTTCTCATAGACCGCCACCGCCCGTCACCAAGGGTTGCCATCAAGCAGAAGCCGCGTCAGTCTTTGCAGGTGTAAACCTCTTCTCTCTGGGTGCATTGCTTGCATTCCACATAGCAGCACCAACGGACCTGGCATTGGCACGGACGGGTGACCACCCGGCTCTGCGTATTGTGCCCTCGCCCGCAGCAGATGCTGTCGCAGTTCTTGTCTTTGTAACATTTCCTTCCCGAAGTCCCAGGCGAGTATCTACTCATCATACAGAAGCTTGGGGAATCGTCAATGTAGACAAGATCCGTAGTCCTTGGGATTTGATCACTGTGACCTGGGATGGACTTCTTGGGTGGGGAGATGTCTCCTTCCCCTGTGGCCTCGTTGGTGGTGCTGCCCACTTTGAGCGATGTCTCGTACTTCTGCTTCAGCTGCTTCCCTATCTCATGGAATGGAGAGAGCTGCCTCCAGCATGTTCGGACAGTACAGGATCCAGATACGCCGTGGCATTTACAGGTTGTCTCCACTCCAGCTTTGATGACCTGCAGACACACACGGCCCCAAAAGAAAATCAGTTATGGGGGAAGAAATCAAGACACAGAGCAAAAAAAAGTTGGCGAGATGACACTTCTGGAACACAAAGTCGATGATGATACAAAAACTATCTGTTGGAAGAGGACGGAAAATACATACTACAGGAAATACTTGCTTTAGAAGGGTCCCAGTTTCCAGGAATATGGCATTTACCTGCCAAAATGTTGCTTTATTGGCTAGTTAATGACACTAGTAAGGTATACAAAGGCTGTCCAGTGCTGGCACTCATCTACGTAGACAGAGATCTGAAGCTGTGATGCAGCTAAGAGATTAACACATATTTTAACACCTATTTATCTATTTTAACAAGACCAAGGAGATAATATGTAACAGAAGTAGAAGGAGTTGGTTTAACGGAGAGAAGAGGGACAGTGCTGCTGTAACACGGACACGCAGGTGGGGTGGCACATTCTCCAGAACATGAGCATGGACAGTAGGAACCTTCTCCGTACCACAACGCACAGGATACCACCTCAAACTCATGCAGCTTCCAATTAGCAGCACAGGCTCAGTGGAAACATGGCTAAGCTGTGCTGTTTCCACCAGTAGTGACTAAGCATAGCATCCCACCCAGTTCACTTTGGAGGAAAAAACTTTGTGTAGCTGAAATATATATATATATATAAGCCCTCCAGAACAACAGCCTGAATCACCATCACCAAAACCAGCAGCTCCAAAAACATCCAGGTAGCTTCCACCTCTCCAACCTGTATTCAGGATTTTATTCCGGAGTACGGTAGCATGTTCAAAAGGACCTGCCACTTTTTTTCTGCTAGCAGTGAAGACAACTGCATGTGCTCTTAAAAAAGCACTACGGCTTGCTGGCCAAATGCATGTTTAACGAAGGTTTTCATGCAGGGTGAAGCCCAAGGCTGCCGTGGTCTTCTCTGTGCCCTCCCTTCCTCTGAGAAATTAAGATGTGAAGAAATGGAAAACAGACCCCTGTGTGATGGGTTCAGCAATTCCAGGTGCTTTAATGCAACCCCCAGGATTTACTCTGCCTGTGTCACCAGCTGTAGGTAGCTTGGAAGGGGAATCTGGATTCTCACACTGATGATTTCAAGGGGAAAAACATGAAATCTGGGATGATGCTACAGTGAGAAGAGTCCAGCCCAGTGGGTTCAGTCCTCAGCCCATCAGGCAGTGACCCCTGGGGACTACAATGGTGCTGGTGGCTGCAGGGAGGACTAGGGGAGCAGTCTTCAATTTTCAACCAGAGAAAGGATGTGGGGCAGTCACTCTTCAAGGAAATAAGAGGACTTTATATTTTCAGCTCTGGCCACGGGAAGAGACTCCCTGCACTAAAGGCTGCACCATCTGTCCCATCATGAGCAACCAGGAGCTGCCCCACGTCAGGGTGAGGAACCTCAGCTCCTGCCTTGATGCTTCAGCAGCACCTCAGGGTGAGTGGGTCCTGAGATTGGACCAGGCAACACAGCAAGCAAGGCCACAAGTGTTTACAAAGAACTTGACCCAGGGGTGGAAAAGCTACTTAGCTAAACGCTGTGGTGTCAGGCCTCTAGTGAGGGGATAAAGGGAAACAGCATCACACAGGCAGTCAGGGGCTGCTGCACCCGAAGGTGGTCTACACAAACCACTGTCCAGGGAGGAACAGGCTGCAAGGTCCAAGGCCCAGGCTAGCATAACTTCTATAAGGTAGTGGCAGAACCTTCTGTAAGGTGTTTTCAACTAGGACAGAAATCTATGTTTTATTATCTCCACAAAAAAAGCAGAGCACTTATGACCAAGGTCTTCAAAGTCAAGGTAGAAAAGAAAAGGAAGGCATTAAAACCCTTGGAAACTGAGCAGATTCTACCCCCTCCATGTCAGGACTCTCATGTTAAAAACTGTGTGCCTGCTTATGCCTCTGGACTACAACTATCAAGGACAAAGCTTGGTTTCAAGTCCTTTCTTAATTACTTGTATTATTTTAAAATTCAAACAGTTGCAGTGGGTGCTGTAATGAGAAGTAAGACTCATCTCACAGATCCCTAAAAGAGGGAAATAACTTTTTCAAGACAACATAAAGTAAATGCATATGATGATTTATTCCTGAAGCAGAAGAAAGTTGGTCTCCATATAGAAAGGTGTCCAGATCTTGCTTGGGGATAGCTTGCATGGGAGTAGCTCTCTTCAGACCACCACAGAACATAAATACAGAAGGAAGAGCAGAGCCAGTGGAACCACAGTGTTCACATACAAGATAGAGGGAATGGAAAGACACAGTTATTTTCAACAGGAAAAGCAGCACGGGAAGGAGAAGCAGTAGCGGGAAGAGAAGAAAGCAAAGAGAGAGTCAACGGTTATTCATCTTGGAGAGAGACAAAGGTGGCAACAGCCTCCCGGGTCCTGCAAAGGATCCCATACCCATAAAATTGACTGATGCTAAACAAAGCATCCCATCCCATTTGAATCAGGCTGCAATAAAGATGCTTCATGACACAAAAGCATATCCATCTCCTTGTAAATAGCATCTGAATGTTCTCCCTCAGCTTCTCCAGAGATAGATTTATGCCTGGGACTCCTTCATGGGCAACATGAGAGCAGACATGTTATTTGGACAGCCACAGGTAACCTGCATTTTGTCCACAGATTATAAACAGATATTCACAGCTCTAGTTCTTCCTCCCCACCGCTTCCCCCAGAATAGGTTACATATTGATTTTAAATGGGTACGGTATAACCACCCCTTAAAATAAGTTCAAGCAGAGTTTGTTTTATAGAGCTGCCTCCTGCCAAGGTACTACTGAAAGTGCCCTTCCTTTGGGCATCTACGTTATCTAAAAAAGAAAAAAAAAAATCTCCCCCTTCTGCCCATTATGGCATCTGCCTACATTATGGCCTCATGACAGCAGAGGACTGGCTCCAGGCCATTTCCTGACCATCCGGTTCTTAATTATTTGGCTGCATGAGTCCTGCTGAGCACCATGTGCAAATGTGCAATAGGTCATGGACTCAGAATTGGGGTCTGGCCCAATCCTGATATTACAGAGACATTTTTAGAAAGACACTGTGCATAATACGGCCTTCAGCAAAGCCTGGCCAATGGTCACACTTCATTCCTGCGACAGCCAAGACCTTTTCAAATGCAATCCAATAATACACAGTAGCATTCAAACAAGTGACGGGTTACAGAGAGAGATGTGTTACTGCTTATAGTACTCAGCTGGGCCGGCTTGGTTAGGGGCTGTCACGCTTTGTGTGCCAAAGCGTCTAGCCAACTCTGCAAGAAATCTCACAATGTTAGACAAGAGCGTACAGAACACGTTTCAATACCGAGGAAAAAAACCCCAACCCTCACCCATACTGTCCCTCATGTAAAGTCACATTTCACTGGTTGTCCAGAAGTGAGAGCTGAGTTCATGTGAAACAAAGCTCCTATACCTGATTTCACGCCCAGAGCATCAGCAAACTGGGCAAAATTGCTGAGATGCAGAAGGGCTGCACACTGCAGTCATTCATCAGTTCAGGCTTTTCTCAACCCTTCCACCTCCCCCAAGCCATTCACATCTGCTCCACCTGGAAAAGGAGTCGACCACCATTTTACGGGAGATGGGAAAGCAAGAAACCCACAGGAGCTGGCGCAGCTGGTAGACACGCTCCTATGGGCAGGCTTGGCTGGAGTTAGAGCTGGTTGAACAAGGCATGGTCATGAAAGGCAGGAAGGGAACCTGGAGACAGGGTTGTTCTTGTCAGGAACCACCTCTCCGGAGCTCGGTGGGAGAGCTGACGTTGCAGGTGCAGTATATCCAAGGCATCCACATGGGGCTGGTAGATATGGCACAACACGTGTTGAAAATCCAGATACTGATGGATTGGCAGCTAGCAGATGGCAGCAGACCTTCAGTCAGGAATAGGCATGTAGATTTAGGCACTTGAATCACGCCAGCCAGCCAGGGTTGACCTCACTGAAGCAGACATTTGAGTTTAAATGCCTGCATTTGAGAAACACCTCTAAACTCCCATCCGGCTCAGTGGAGCCAAAGCAGGCAGAGGATCCTGCAGCAAAGCAGACACCTGCACATGCTCCACTGAACAGGTCTCCAGGCTCCGCCAACTGTGCTGACCACATCTCTACTCACTAACAGGAGCCTCAGGACCCAGCTCATAGAGGCACCTCAGTTCAGACATCTTAACCTATGAGCAGAATCCCACCCTCTGGGACAAATTCAGGTGTCTAAATATCAGCATCTAGCATTGAGGTGCTGTAAAACATTGCTCTTCACCACCAGCTGCCCCTCCAGGGGCATCAAGGTCTCTCAAAGGGTAGAAATACATATATTCAGGTAGATTAATCCTACTTTCCTTGTCTGGGCTTAAACATTGATGAACAAAGCCTCTGCTGAATCCCAGTCTGTTTTTTCCTGACCCACTTCTAGCTCCTTGTTAAGCAGTGCCTAGGACAGCTTAGATGTCATGCACTGGTGGACCAAAGCATAAAAGGTTTCCATTGTCCCCGTTCTCATGAAAGCACCAGTTCATGAAATCCAGCATGTGGATTTTCATATGGCCACTGTGCAAGCATGGTGCATCCCAACTGCCCCGTAAACCTTCTCCTTGAAGGACCAGGAAGGGCTCAAGAATGTTACAAGGCAGCTATAGTTAAAATCCTAGAAAAATTTCTTCCCCAGCCAGCCTCCCCTGCCGCTGTCAGTCACGATGCAGCTACTCGAGGTGATGTGTGATGGAGAACTGCTGCCTACGGGCCCCTAACCACCCACGAGCCGAAATGAATCTTGGCAAAGCCCTTCAGTTTCTTGCCTTGTTCCCCAGCTTCCACAAAGACCTTCCTCCTCTTGTTGCAGGCTCCTGTCAGAGACATTTAAATCCACCTCATTCCTCCAGAAAGCAGAGCAAAACTTATCCAAGTCAGCAGGTTGCTTGGAGCAGTGTAGGAGAAACCTTTCCTGGCTGGGCCCCGAGACAAATGAGTAAATGTCTAGATCAT